CCTAAATCAAAAACACGACCCTAAATTTCAACCGAAGGAGGCTTAGAAAAAAGGGGTGAACACCGGGATGGTTGCAAACACCGGTTGCAATATCCGACTGGAATGCCTTCCGAGCTACCCTGCCAAAATACGGCCCTCAATTTCACCTGATGCTCGATAATAAAAAATCTTTTCAAAAATAAAACTCATCATCACCTCAATATCGATAAGGAACCATCAAAATCGGAACCCATCAAAGGAAGAAAATAGTGGGTTAAAGAGAAAATGAAGAATAGCGGAAGCAGTGGAAAAATTAAGGAGCGCCTGGTGGTGCTTCATAAAGACGGTGGTGATGGCGGTGTTGAATCGCTTCCAAAGAGAAACACTCACACACAGAGGGTTGAAGAAGGATCGAGATGAAGGCGGTGGGTTTATGGTACAGTATGGTAACAAAAACGGTGAAGAAGAACAGTAATCCGAATGTGATTGGGCAAGAAAGCGGTGAAGCAAGGTAAAACAACACGTGGCCACCAAAAATATAGATATTGACATAAAAAGACCCACTGCAAAGACAAACCAAAAAAATAGACGGAAGTGAACACACTCACATAAATAGAGGACCACTTTTACCAAAACCTTTAGGAACTTTACTGTTCCTAAGGATTGGCCTTCTTTACTCTCTCTCTCTCTGTATATATATATATATATATATATATATATATATATATATATATATATATATATATATATATATATATATATATATATATATATAATAACAAGATTAAAATATAAAATAAAAGAAAAGAAAAAACAAAAAAAAGCGAAAGAAACAAAAAAACAAACAAAAAAGGAAAGAAAAAATGATGTCAAATCAAAAGTAAATGATTGATTAGATTGATGTTTGAGGGTAAAATTGGTTAAGAGGGGTACTTAGACTACCCCCATCGGTGCAAAGTGACGAGCGGATCGACACTTTTTAATTAAAAAAAATGAAAATTAAATGTATATGTGCAGCCTAGGCCACATGGACAATCCAATTTCACCAAAATTTCTTGCCATGTGTTTAACAATCAAAGGCTAAGTGTATATTTTTTTTAGATTTTTAGATAAGAGTTATTATCCTTGAAAATCCAACATTATCTTAATAAAAAAATTGAAAAAAAAAATACTAAAATTCATGATTTTTTTCTCTATAAATAGAGTATAATATTGATATAGTTCATATCTCATCTTAACTCTTCATTTCTAAACCTTTTTATTTCTTTGATACCATGGATCCAAATTTCGTTTTAAATCTTGACGATTCTCAAGATTATCAAAACTTTCAAGGTTATGAAAGCTCTCAATTTTTCACAAATCTCAATCAAGTCCCTATCACTGAAAATATTCAAACCTCACAAAATACCGGAAAAACCCAAGAGGCGATAAATGGGATGCTGATGAAGATATCGCTTTAATGTCACCATATTACATCGTTAGTGAAGATAAGCGTCGTGGAAAAAACCAAAAGAAAACATCAATATGGGCACAAGTGAAGGAGCTATATGATGCAAGTCAAGCAGAAAACCTAGGAAAGCTTGGTAATAGGAACATAGCTCAAATGAAAGGTCGTTATAAACGACTTAACGAAAGTTCTGGAAAATAGGTTGGTGTTTACCGAGAAGAATATAGAAAAAGAAGAAGTGGAATGAGTATGAAAGATGTTGAGAATGAAGCTCATAAGTTATATGAGACAAGTGGAAGCAAGTTCAATGACACGATTGTTTTTAATGAGGTTATGTGTAAGCATCAAAAATGGGATCTACAGCTAGATCATGATGCAACACGATCACGTCCTAAATATGAAGTGGATGATGAAGAAAGTGGTGGTAGCACAAAAAGATCAAGGTCTACTGAAGAAGGAGACTATTGTGTCCAATCCAACACAGAAGGGGCAAATATTGGTGGTTCAACAATTAAACGTCCAACAGGTAGAGATGTGGCTAAAAGAAAAAAAAAGGTAAGTCTTCTAATGAAGTTGTTGCAGAACTTCGTGCAATGAGGCTTAGTAGAGATAGTGAAGTAGAAGTAATGAAAAAAAAAGACTCGAATTGGATCACAAAGGGAGCAAAAAACGGATGAAAGGGAGCTAATAAAGATGCAGAGTTTGCATTTGAACACACTCCTACAAAAGGAGCAATTGTCGCCTGAACAAGAAAACATGAAACATTTTCTAGTGTATAAGTTTTATGGAAACTAATTACAGTTTAGTGTATGTTTTATTTTTAGTATGCTTTTAATGTATTTGTAAGATATTTTAGTATGTATTTGTATCTCATGCTTTTAATGTAGTTGTAAGATATTTTATTATGTATTTGTATCTCATGCTTTTAATGTGTTTATAATATATATTATATGCTTTTATTGAATATAGCCAATGACCGATATTTTCAACAAAGACGTGATGCCACAGGCAGACAAGGTCTTTCACCATTACAAAAATGTACCAGAGCTATGCGGGTATTGGCGTATGGGACATCAGCAGATGCACATGATGAATATTTGAGAATGAGTGAGACTGTAACAAGAGATGCTCTTGTAAAGTTTGTGGAAGGTGTTATTTCATGCTTTCATGAAGAGTATCTTAGACGCCCCAATCAAGATGATTTGGCACAACTGCTCTATGTTGGAGAAGAACGTGGATTTCCAGGTATTGTAGGCAGTATTGACTGCATGCACTGGGAATGGAGAAATTGTCCCACTGGTTGGGCTTGACAATATGTAGGTAGAAGCGGTAAGACAACAATAATTTTGGAAGATGTTGCATTGTATGACTTATGGATATGGCATGCATTCTTCGGAACACCGTGTTCATGCAACGACATTAACGTCCTCTAAAGATCTCCTCTTTTTGATAATGTCTTGGCAGGTCGAGCACCATAGGTGAGTTACACTATGAATGATCGACAAAATCATATGACTTATTATCTCACCAATGACATATATCCTTCATGGGCTGCCTTTGTCAAGTCAATAAGTTCTCCATAACTTCGAAAACACAAGTTGTTCGTTGAACATCAAGAGGATGCTAGAAAAGATGTTGAACGAGCATTTGGAGTTTTACAAGCTCGTTTTGCATTTCTTCATCGCCCTTGTCTTGTATGGGACAAAGATACGATGGGTAAAATTATGATTGCATGTATCATCATTCATAATATGATAATTGAGGATGACCGACACACATACCTTCATTATTATGAGTCATCCGAATTTATAACAATAGAAGACGAACAATCATTTGAATACTCTACTCAACGAATTGCAGATCTATCTAGTTATATGACCAACATGACACAAGTTCGCAATAGAGATGCTCATAAAGCTCTAAAAGATGATTTGATTGAGTATATATGGAAAAAATTCAACACTGAAGAATAATTAAGTAGTTTGCATCTTCTATATTTGTAACTTATTTTATCTATTTTATTAAGTATGTTTTATGAATGTAAAATAATTTTTTATCTAGTTTTTTTTTTCATGTTTAAAATAAATAATTTGTTTGTTTCAAAATAAAATATTTAATTTTAATATTTCTAGTAGTTTTTAGTAAAATAAAAATAAAAATAAATTTTTAAGGAAAAATGAGTTTGGGTTGGTAATGGGTGTAAAAAATTAAATTGGATTAGATTGTATAGATAGAAGAAAAAGAAATTAATTTTTTATTAAAAAATTAGATTTGATTGGATTGCTAATGGGTTAGTCTTATAACACAACCCACCCTTGAAATTAAAAAAAAAAAAAAAAAAAAAAAAAAAAAAACTATGGGGTCGGCTTATGTAATGGAAAGGTACATGGGTTTATATTTATTTATATTATACTTGAAGGGTTTCTATGCAATTGTTTAATAGTAGGCACGGATGCGGCGTTGATGACCCCCCTCTCTCTCTCACACACACACACTTCGCCATTGTTGCTGCTTGAGCTTTGATCCGATGGTTCTACCGAATGCGGCAGCCACAATACTTCTCACGGCACTCATTACACTCTCTCCTTTCGCCTTCTCTTCTGTCGTCGACGATGCATACCCATCCCCATATACCGCCGCGATGACATCCTGCGACCTCGACGAGGGCGGCAGACTCTCCCCTATCCGCAGAGAAGTCTACGATGAGGGTCGTATCATTGACATAAGTCACCGATACCACCCTGACATGCCTTCATGGGGATCAGACGACGGCCTTGGAGAGTTCCTCCGGCTTCCCGCAAGTATGAAGAACGGCTCACTCGCCAACAATTCCGAGATGAAAATCCCCACACACACTGGGACCCACGTGGATGCCCCAGGACACGTTTATGATCACTATTTTGATGCCGGTTTCGATGTTGACACGCTTGACCTTCATGTTCTCAACGGTGAGTTTCAATGAGCCAAGATTTTTTAATTGAGTGTAAGCTGTTTGATTTAATGCCTTAATGAAACTTTGAGCTTTGTTAAAAAATAAAAATACTATCTTTTTAAAAGGACAACAGAAAGAATTTCCATGACAAAATCTGTTTCATTTCTACATTCAAAAGAGTAATAATTCTGACGGAAGAAGTGAAAGCATTGTTGTTTTGGGATAAATAAAGTAAGGGGTTTATTTGGCAGGCTTTCAACATCCAGAAAACAACACTAACTTCAATTAAAAAAAGTTTCCTCTTTGATTTTCTTGAACTTCTTTCATCTGCATAAATTTCTTGAATTTGTAAAAGATTCCATTCGATCTCAAAAGTTGAACCTTCACCATGTGTCTTTCCTCAAAACAGTGTCACCTAACAAGAATAGTTTAATCATCATTTATCAAAATAGTATACAACGTGTCATCATATTAGCAACATGTCATGTATTTTCTTGGACTTTTGTGACTTTTAGTGAGGGGACAACTTTAATGTGCTCATAAAAGATCGAAGGTAGCATGAAAGTGAAAGGTGATGCTTTTCCACCACAACCACCCATCTAACATCTTCCAAAAGATCCTTTGAAGAGATTATCAAGAAAGATGAGCCCTAAATTGATTTTTCTCATGCTTATTATACCTTATGTGTCATCTTTCCCACAAGATACCGCATACCCAACTCCATATGCTGAAGAAGAGTTGATACCTCCAAGAAGGGAAGTTTATGGAAGTGGGAGAATTTACGATATTACCCATAGGGTTACATCTGGAACACTCTCGGGGGTATCTGATGAAGGAATTGGGGAGTATCTTACACTCTTTCAAAGCATGAAAAATGGATCAGATTATAATTTCTCCATCATAAAGTTACCTGCTCATTCTGGAACTCATGTAGATGCACCTGGACATTTTTATGAAAATTATTATCAAGCAGGGTTTGATATCGATAGTCTTGACTTAGAAGTACTCAATGGTATTAGAGACATATTTACCTACTTACCCTTGGCCTTTTTACTTTCAGCTTTATTGTTTGTCTCTGGTTTTTCTCACAATGCTATTTATTCTTCATTGTGGGCTGATGTTTCATTTTTTGTTCTTCATAGGTCCAGCATTATTAGTTGATGTTCCAAGGGACAAGAACATAACAGGTAACATTCCATTATGTTTCTTTACCTTTAATCTGAAATTGCTTCTATATGTAAGTTTGCTTCAAGTAAAATATGGTTTCTAATCTCCAAGGAGTTGTTATGATGACTTGTTAACTTATATTTCAGCTGAAGTTATGGAGGCCTTGAAGATTCCCAAAGGAGTAAGGCGTGTGCTTTTTAGAACATTAAACACTGATAGGTAACTTCTTTTCACTCTTTTAGTTTTAACAAGAATCAACAATCACATGGTTTTAACCACACCGGGAAAAGAAGGAAATGAATGAGAGTAAACTACTAAATTGTCCCTGTGGTTTATGAAGTTTCTTTGGATATGTTCCAATGTCCTCTCTCTCTCTCTCTCTCTCTCTCTCTCTCTCTCTCTCTCTCATGGGAGTTTGATAGTTGTTGCTGGAAAAAATGGAGTTGGTTGCCGGCAATAAAGATGAAGATTTTAATATGAGGGCAAAATTGTCATTTAAAAAAATTAACAAGTGGGTAGAGACTGAAAGCATGATGAAACTGTGTTTTAGGGACATAGAAGTTAAATATCAAACAATTGGACCATATCAAAAAAACTCATAAACCACTGGGTTGATTTTTGTCAGAGAAGCAGATCTAATTTCTTCATGTGCTGTTGGGATTCATGTCTCACTTTTTGTGGGGGCTGTTTTTATCTGAATGTGAAAAACGATATTGGAGTCGAATGAAAACCAGTTTGTCGGTTCTTTTGCATTTTAACCGATTTTCTCTTGACATTATGAATTTAAGAATATGTACCTTTTCTGCTACTTCGGCTAATTCTAGGTGTTTTGGCTTCATATGTTGACCAACAATTTGTTCCATTCATTGTCATGGCATCCGCTTGTGTTTCCACGATGGAATAAATCCTTTTTCATATGGGATGTTACGAATTGCTCTTTTAACATTTATTCCTATTCTTTATTTTTCAGCAATTCTACGAAAGACTTCCATAACACCAAACACAACTTCTTTGTTTAGATTTGATGCTTTTCTTGGAATGCTACTGGGTGCTAATATTTCAATATATAGTGTATCATAAAAGCTTGGGGTTAATGTAAACCCTAAACAATGAAGTGGGATTGTCATTTTGTCCCTCTTAGCTACAATTATATCTCAACTTGTGAGCAATGGCCCTTAATTTCACCCAATATGTTATCCATTTTTTTTTATAGATCTCACCTTTTTTATGACCTTTACCATCACAAAACATTATTAGTAGAAAAATAGGTTTGGTAATTGCCAAAACATTTTCAACATCTTCCCAAAATTCATCATTTTTAATTGTATCAACAACTTGTAACCTAATAGTTCTTGTGTTTCTGTCCTCATTTTTAACCCATTCCCTTCGAGAACAAAAGAAAATAGTTGTGGCAAAAGCTTCATTACAATCCATAATTTTTTTTAGACAAAACTTCAAAAATGGTCCCTGTGGTTCTCGAAAATATCAAGTTTGGTCCCTAATTTACAAAAACCGCATGGATCGTCCCTGTGGTTTCAAAACTTTTAACATTTAGTCATTTCGGCTAACTCCGTTACCATTTAGCCGTTAAGTCAGGGGCATTTTTGTCATTTCACTACACATGGACCATTTATGAGGTATCCAATTACTTTTTTTTTAAATAAATAAATAAATAATATTTAATATACAAGGGGTCCTACCCTCTCTCTCTCTCTCTCTCTTACGATTCCACACGGTAGCACCACCTTCCGCCATAAAATAACCACTGCCATCACCTCCTTCCCCATCGGAAATCACAACCCAACCACCCATCTTCCATCCCGTTTGATCACTCAAACCCACCCTTAAATACCACCACTTACTGCCTTCCATTCACGTTTTTCTACTGCCCTTCCCCTTTTCCTTCACTACCGAGAAACACCACCACCCCTACGGGTGTTGTTGTTGTTGTTGTAACCCAAACACCTCATCAAGTGTGGCCTGTTCGAATTGATAGCCAATCTTCTTCTCCGGGTGTGAAATTATACACTTTTAGTTTTGTTAAGTAACATTTCTTTCAGGTGTTTCATCGAGCACCTGGAGTGTATTGTTCTCCTCCTTCATTTTCGGATTTATTTAGTAAGAGTTATCACTCGTCGCTGTTCCAAATCACCACCATCACCACCTGTGCGACTGCTGCTACTCCACCACCATAAGTCCTCCTAAACCCTTCGTAAATAATAAACTCCAGTCGAGTTCCACATTCAAAGCCACGAAAATCGGTTTCTTTTTTTTTTTCTCTGGTGTGATAACTAAGAACGAAGAAGACGCAGGAGGATGTTTACCTCCTGCATAATCAAACTTGAATACAGAACGAGAGGGATGAGAGGTGTTAGGCTATATTGGAGGTGGTTTTCGGATTTATGGAGTGGCAGAAAATGGTGGCAATGCTCGGTGGAAGAAGGGTGGTTGGATGATGATGGGGAGCTCCGGCAGCCTCCTGCTATCGATTTCTTCTTGTTGTTTGGTGTATATGAAGGGAAAGGGGAAGCGAGTTCGGAGGTGGAGGAAGCTTGCCAGGCAGCAATGCGTTTTTCGGTGGGAAGAAAAGAGGTGGCAGGAGGGACTCCGGTGGCTGCTGCCATCGTTTTCTCTTCTGTTTTAAGGATATGCTGACGAGCGGAAGGGTTGGCTGGAGGTGTTGATGATCAGAAGGGGTTATAAGGTGGTATAGGGTCGGTTTATGGGGGGGGGGGGAATGGTGGTTTTGATGGTTTTGGGTAGTGTTGGGAGAGAGAGAGAGAGAGAGAGAGAGAGAGAGAGAGAGAGAGAGAGAGAGAGAGATGTTTTTTTCTTTTTTTTCAAAAAAAATAGAAAACCTCATAAATGGTTCCTGGGTGTTGAAATGAAGAAAATACCCCTCACTTAACGGTAGAAAGCTGACGGAGTTAGGCGGAAGGACCAAATGTTAAAAGTTTTGAAACCACAGGGACCATCTGTGAGGTTTTTTGAAATTAAGGACTAAACTTGATATTTTCAAAAACCACAGGGACCATTTTTTAAGTTTTGTCTTTTTTTTTTTAACAAAATATAATGTGATGCAAACCGGGTTTTTCGCCACCTTCAACCACTCTAATTTTGGATTTTGTCGAAAGATTATATGGCGTAAGTGAGGTTAAGAAAGTAGTTAACATTTACCTTATCTCTCTTATACGTATTGCTAACCAGTAAAATTCATTTGCCAAGTCTATGAAATTCAAATTTAAAGTGTGAACGCAACAAGTATACCATAAGATATGTTTGTATACCTTCTCGATCTCTCATCCGATTGCTTTGCAACCATTGTCCGTTACCACTTGAAACATGTTACCTGGTTTGACGGTCTTGATAACTTCAAGTAGAAATTTAGAAATCTCTACTGTTTTTACGACTTCCGAAAGATCATCTGAATACATAAACCTCACATCACGAGAGAATTCACGACTATAACATTGATAAGCTGCATGCATATGCTTAACTTTAGACCACCTATCGGAGATGATTGAAACTCCTTGTGTGTACCAAGTATCTTTAACCGGAGTTGGATCCTTCTTAACATTCTTAACACATTCGTCAATCAACACTGTTCTAACTTTTTTCACTTGATGGAGGTTTGTATCCATCCGGTGCTTTTTTATGGCGTTAACTATTTCAAGAAGTTGTGGGTTGCGTAACACACTGAAAGGAATCCCGTTTGCACACAATTCTCTAATGATCTTGTCCACCGCGCTTTCGTTCAATATCCCAAAAGATTCTTCAATACGTTTCTTTGAGGATGCATTTTTGGAAAGTAGAGAATTCTTTAAAGACTTTAAAACTCCCAACATTTTTCGCTTCTTTTACCATATTCAAAAGGCTTTCATATTTCTCTTGATGTCTACGCAAAGCTAGACTATTTAATTATTGTTTCTAATCGATATTTAATGCTCCTCTAGTTCGATAATTAAATAGTTCCCAATCGTGATTTTGACTTTAGTTTCTCAAATTGGTACATTGATTTCAGAATGATGTTAAATCATGACTCTTAGATATACACTTTACTGTATCGACCCTTAGAATGACAATTCCTTTTGAACTTCGGATTCATTGTACGAACTTAACAATTTGATGGTTCAGTTTCTCATTTTGACTCCTATGTATACATCTATATAATACTCAATTTGTTATCATCTTCTACTATTCTCCTTCCCTTCGTCCAAAAGAACATGAGATAGAAGGATTTAGTGATTTGCTGATGAGGACCAAAGTAGATTAACTACAAGTGAAAGACAAGGAAGGGTCTATTGATGAGAAGGATCGAAGCAAAGTAATGTTAGAAGAAGCAACTTTTGTTGGTTTCAGTAACAGTAAAAATCTAGAAGGTGCAAAGCAATGGATTTTCAATCACTATAAATATAAGTACATTGGTTCTTATACCACATAATTTATGTCAAATTTTTTGGGCCTCCAGTCGGGAAAAAAACTAAGATTAAAAGATTCCAGCTTTTGTTGAGATTGAGAGAAGTCTGAAAGCCTTTTGAATAAGGTAACAGAAACGGAACATATAGGAGTTTCAAAGTCTTTAAAGAGTTTGGTACTTCCCAAAATGCATCCTCAAAGAAAAGAATCTTTTGGGATATTGGAAAGAAATGTGGTAGATATGGAGATCATTCGAGGATTATGTGCAAACAGGATTCCTTTCAATATTCTACACAACCCACAGTTTCTTGAAATGGTTAATGCCATCAAGAAAGCACCGGATTGATACATACCTTCATCGAGTGAAAAAGGTAGAACGGTGTTGCTTGATAAGTGTGTTAAGGGATGTTGGGAAGGGTCTAACTTCAGTCAAAGAAACTTGGTACACACAAGGAGTCTCAATTGTCTATGATTGGTGGTCTAATGTTAAGCATATGCCGATATCAACGTTATTACCGTGAATTCTCATCGTGTTAGGTTTATGTATTTGGATGATTTTTCGTGATCCGAAAAAACAAAAGTAGAGATTTCTAAATTTCTACATAGAGATATAAAGATCGTTAGACCAAGTAACATGTTGCAAATGGTAACAGATAATGCGACTAATTGCAAAACGGTCGGATGAGAGTTCAAGAAGGTGTATAACATTTATTTGGTCCCCTTGTTGCGCTTACACTTTAAATTTGATTTTCAAAGCAAATTAACTTAGTAATACGTATAAGAGATGTAAGGTAGTTGTTAACTACTATCTTAACCACACTTATACGTTATCAATCTTTCGAAAAAAATAAAAAATTAGAGTTGTTGAAAATGTTGAAAACCCAATTTGCATCACATTATATTTTGTTAAAAAAATTATGAATTGTTGGGGGGCTCTTGCCACAACTATCCTTCGTAGTTCTTGGAGGGAATATGTTAAAAATGAAGACGCAAACCCAAGATTTATTGGTCAAAAGTTGTCGATACAATCAAAGATTATGTATTTTGGGAAGATGTCGAAAATGTTTTGGCAATTATTAAACCTATTTTTCTATTAATCAAGTTTTGTGATGATAAAGGTCCTAAAAAAGATGAAATTTATGAAAAAAAAAATAGATGACATGTTTGGTGAAATTAAGGACATTATAAAAGAAAATACATATTACAGCTATTACCCACAAGTTGATATAATAGTTGTAGCTAGGTGGGAGAAAATGACAATCCAACTTCATTGTCTTGGGTTTGCATTAACCCTAAAATTTTATGATAAACTATATCTTGAAAAATTAGCACCCGGTGGTATTTCAAGAAAAACACCAAATCTAGAAAAAAAAAGTTGTGTTTGGTGTTATGAAAGGTATTTCAAGAAAAACACCAAGTTGTGTTTGGTGTTATGAAAGCCTTCTGTAGAATTGCAAAATTGATAGGAGGAACAACTGTTATGAGAGCAATTTGTAACATCCATGTGATGAAAAGGATCTATTCGATGGTGGCAACACAAAAGGATGTCATGACAATAGATGGAATAGATTGGTTCTCAACTTATGGATCCGAAACATCAAAATTAGCCAAAGTAGCAAAGAAGGTACACAGTAGCTCTTCAACAGAAAGAAATTGGAGTACATATTCTTACATTAATAATGTTGAGAGAAATCGGTTAAATGTCAAAAGAGTTGACAAATTGGTTTTCATTAGACTCTAATATCGTTTTTCACATTCATATAAAAACGGATCACACAAAAAGTGGAACATGAACCTCGAAAGACCACGTATATAGGCTCAAGTTCGTAACTAGAAGAAATGGTTTGAAAGAATTTAGATGAAGACGACTTGGAGAATGGGAAAGGAAAAAGACCGCGGTTAGATACGTCCACCCTAGCGAACTACGTGCCCATACCGGAGCGATCCACAATCTATGTGACTATGGTTATGGCTTTGATACCATATAAAAATAGTTCTAAAATGTCTTAATAATAGATATTGAACAACTATATATATAATACAAATCATATGAAAGAAATCATCTACATGGATTATCCTAAAAAATGAATGCTATTATTTGGATTCTTCTTTTTCATCTTAAACAATATATTTGTGTCTGATTTGTAACAAGATGAAATATGAATAAGTAATAACACTAATTGTGTAAGCTTACTTTAATTAATCCTTTGTTTGTTTCATAATGTTATTATTTTTTGGGTTATCCATTTCAGACGGTTAATGTCGCAAACAAGATTTGACACAAGCTATGTGGGATTTATGAAGGATGGAGCCCAGTGGTTGAAAGACAACACTGACATCAAACTTGTTGGTAAAACACTCTCTCATCCAGTGTGGATTTTTACAAATATACCCCTGATTTGTGAGAACAAGTGTGTTTGTCATCTATTGCTTGCTAAAAAAAGTATTGGTATTTTTTTTTTTTTTTTTTAATTTTGTAGGTATTGATTACTTGTCGGTTGCTGCATATGATGATCTCATTCCTGCACATCTTGTTTTCTTAAAGAGCAGGGTAAAGACATATATTCTCCCTCTTGCAAAACATACTTTCAGAAGGTGTTTAATTATTTGTTAAATGTCTTAAATACCCTTTAACAAAATTAAACACTGCTACTTTTTGTGGTTTCAGGAAATCATTCTTGTTGAAGGTTTGAAACTTGACGATGTGGAAGCAGGATTGTATAATGTCCACTGCTTACCCTTAAGGTTACTAGGAGCAGAAGGATCTCCCATTAGATGCATCCTAATCAAGTGATACTAGTAATAGTAAAGCATGTTCATAAATAAACTATGTTTCTTTTCAACAACTTTCCTTTGTTTTTTGACGTTTCGTTGTAAACTAGTAGTTAGTTCTTGCAAAAGTACAAAAAGAGATACCGTGGTTTTATATAATAATCAGGTTTGGTAGATCATGATGCACACTTATTGCTTGCATATGTTTGTAGTTAAATATGATAGGTGCTGCAAAAAGACTTTATTAGAAACCAAAATCAAGCTATGTTTGTACAAGATTAACAAACACTATATTGTTGCTATAGAATTACAATTATTTAGAGTAAAAAAAGATCCTTGCAAACTAAGTTCACCAGGATTATCTTCACTATTATTCTATTAACCCTAGGATAACATTCATTTGAAAACCTATATAATTAATGTTATACCCTGTAATCTTGTGTTTTTTTAACAGCAATATTTTATTAAAAAGACAGCAAGAAGCTGGAATTACAAGCTACAATAGATTGGGTTACTAACCCATGAGTCCCAAGACAAAGATCTCCCCCACCTAACTCTATTTTTAAGCCAAAAAAACCCTAAAGCTTTGACATCAAAAGCAAGAAAAGAAGGGTTTTTCACTTTGCTATTAAAGATCAAACCGTTCCGGTACGTCCATATAACCCATAAGAAGGCCCTAGAGATCGCACCCATAAGAAGGCCCTAGAGTTTACTCCAATGTGGTTGTCCAAAGAGTCATTGTCATTGAGAGCATCATTCTACCACACATATAGAAGTGCTCCCAACTTCCTAGTGGTTGAACAATCTTTAAATATATGATCTTCATTATCCTCAAAAGCGTTACCTCAAAAGCGTTACACATCGGGCATAACATAATTGGAATACCCCCCACCCCTCTGAGCAAGGTTAGCTCTCGTCGACACAGTCTACCAAGTCTAGCACGCCATATGAAAATGTTGATTTTCCTTGGAACAATGTTAGTCCAAACTGTAGGTATATTGTTAGACTCCAAGAAGCTTTTGTCTATTTCTTTACTAACGGAAGATTCAGTGAAATCGCCACTAGCATCAAGACTCCAACACCACTTACTACCATTGGAATTACCTAGGCCTGACAATTGGGTTGGGTTCGGGTTGGCGGGTCAGAAAACATAAACTCAACCCAACCCATATAATATATGGGTTGACGGGTTGGCGGGTCACAGGTTGGTGGGTTGGAAACCTCAACCCAACCCAACCCATATAACCTGTTTAAGTATATGGGTTCGCGGGTTCACAAGCTAATGGGTCAAACCCAACCCATATAACCCGTTTAATAAATAAATAACACATTTTAAAAAATGAGGTTTTTTCAACATAAATTCATAAAATGATTAAAGTAATTAACATAAAAAAGGGTTTTCAACATAAATTCATAAAGTCAATAACATCCGAATAAAAATGAAAAATGAAAACATTCATAGAAAGTAGATGTGTTCTTCGTTCATGACTCGTGAAATAACGACATGTATTTTTTCTTTTTCTGATTAACGAACCGCAAATACAGATTAGTCACATACGAATACGGAAGGAATACAATGATACGGAATATTACAAATACAGATGGAAATCAAATTTAATTAATATATATATATATATATATATATATATATATATAATATATATATATATATATATATATATGGGTTGGCGGGTTGACCCTCTAACCCAAACAGATAACCCAACCCAACCCATGAAATAAACGGGTTGGCGGGTCAAAAATATCAACCCAAACCCGTCTATTTTCGAGTTGGGTCAGTGTCGGATTACGGGTTGGGTTGAGAGTTGCCACCCCTAGAATTACCCCCATAATCATTACTTTTATCGAAAAGTGTAAGAAGAACAATATTGAAAGGCTCCATATCCTTACACATGTCGCTTATTCTGCCCCTGTTAACGTTACCATATGCGACCACGTTAAATCTAACGGAAAGCACTGACCGAACGTTATCTCGCCAGGGTCTTGGCCGGGTCTCAGTCTTAGCCCGGACAGGCCAGCGTCAGGATGACAACTCACTTTCTCCCACGAGGAAGAATATTCCTCGTGATCCTCTCATTCTCTTATGACCAATCAGGTCATGACAAAGAGCCTGATGACGCCTAGAACTAACGTCACCTGGTTGTTAGACGGCGTGAGCGTACTTCTCCCGGTAGGAAAGTGTCACGTCTCACTCCCACATGGGGAGAGTCACCCCATTTCGCTAGCAACAGGGACAAAAGGATCCCTTCCTACACAAGAAAATGGATCATCTTCTTTCCTATACAATTTTACCTAAATCTCTCTCAGAAAGAAAGCTAACTTGATCGTCGGAGTGAAGTCCCGGGAGAACCCCCGATCGTCCTTTATCGATTCTTCTATGTTGTGTTCTCAAGTAAACCTCCAAGTCCAACTCGTCAACAAACTACCAATTCCCTGAAGAGCTTGTCACAACATTTGGCACCATCCGGACGTATCCTCGGAGTGATACAACCAATAGACGACGATGGTTCTCTACAAAAGTGGATCTAAACCCAACAGCAACCGGGACGGTAGAAGAAGATCTTTTCAAACACCGGTGATAGTAAACAAGGAACATCACCGCGAGTGTAGAACACAGGCTCTAATCCAGGTGATGATGGCGCGGGTCCTGCTAATTACGTCAGAAATAGTAAAGCCAGTACTCAAGAGCAGTTTTCAGCAACTATTGTCAGAAGGTTCGCTGCCTCAAATGGCGATAACACATCTCGATTTGCTACAGGAACCTCTGTATGATGGCAACGAGGTACTCACTATCTCTAAATCTCATAAGAGAAACATAACTCACCAAACGGAAGACGAGATAGAGGTACTCTCGAGAAATCTACTCAATATCACTTTTTCGAGTAGCGATCCCAGGCCGTCGAACTGGGATCCACGAGATCCACTCTTCATATCTGGATTCATTGGCCATACGAAAATTCATCGGATATACATCGACAATGGTAGTAGCTCCGACATACTCTACGAGCATTGTTTCAGTCAACTACCGGAGACATGGAAGGAGGGGCTAAGGCCCCCAACTGGAGGACCATTGGTGGGGTTCATCGGTCACAGCTTGTGGCCATTGGGCACTATCCGACTGCCTTTAACATTGGTTAGGCATGATGAAATGGACGGAATCACAAGAATAATCGAATTTTCTGTGTTTCGGTTTCCAGCAGAACACAATATTCTGCTCGGACGATCAACAATCTCCCTACTACAGTTCGTGCCACCGACGATACATGGCATAGTTAAATTTAGCACACGCCAGGGATCATCAACAATTATTGCCACAAACACCAGGGCGCAACACTTCCATCATATCATAGCTTCTCCCGAGTTGGTGCGAGCTCCAAAAAAGTCGAAGGAGGATTGTTCCACCGAACAACACCAAGTAAATGCAAAATGCCCAGAGTAGCGTGTGCGAATTGGTGCTCACCTATCAGGCGAGACCAAGGCACGACTAGTAGCTCTCCTGAAGCAATATTCCGCTGTTTTTGCCTGGAAGCCAACAGATCTGACATGCGTAGGCCGATAGGTTATAGAGCACAATCTCAACATCACGCCTGAAAGCAATCCTATCATACAAAAGAAGATGGGCCATGCGGAAGACCGGAACAGGGCTATAAATGCAGAAGTAGCCGACCTAGTGAGTGACGACATACTTAGGGAAGCAATGTTCCCGACATGGATAGCAAATTCCTTTATGGTAAAGAAAGCCAATGGGTCATGGCGAATGTGCATTGACTACTCAGACCTTAATAACACTTGTCCAAAGGATTATTACCCCCTTCGAGAGATAGATCAGAAAGTACAATCGCTCGAAGGGTTTCAGTTCAAATGTTTCCTTAATGCGTATAAAGGTTATCATCAAGTACAGATGAAACGAGACGACGAGGCGAAAACAACTTTTCACGCTGAGAAGGGCACTTTCTGCTACCAGAAAATGCCTTTTGGACTCAAAAACGTGAGTGCTGCATATCAGAGACTAATGGACAAGATATTAGTTGATAAAATTGGTAGGAACATCGAGGTCTACGTTGATGATATGGTAATCAAGAGTCGTAACGAAGAAACATCACTCCATGATGTGGAAGAGACTCTTAAAACGCTAGCTAAAGCGCAGATGAGGTTAAAACCATCTAAGTGTACTTTCGGCGTAGAAGACGGCCAATTCCTTGGGTATCAGATATCCAAGGAAGGGATTCTACCCAACCCCATCAAAATCCAAGAGTTCCTCGATTCGAAAACTCCCCACAACCTCAAAGGTGTACAAGAGATCAATGGTCGGCTAACGACATTAGGAAGATTTATTGCCAAACCAGTAGAAAATGCGCTTCCCCTGTACCAAACCCTTAAAGAGTGCTTAGAGAAAAAGCAATTCAAATGGACAGAAGGAGCAGACGAAGCATTACAACAACTTAAAGATGCCTTACATCAGCTACCGGCCCTCGCTTGCCCGCTACCAGGAGAAACCCTATAGATGTACCTAACAGCATTGGAAGAAGCTATATCCTCTGTGTTGGCGATGGAAAGGGAAGGAAAACAAGTCCCCATCCACTTTGTAAGTAGGGCCTTGTAAGGGCCATAGGTTAATTACCCAGTCTTAGAGAAACCGGTCCTCGCCCTAGTATACGCTGCCAGGCGGCAACGTCGGTATTTCCAAGCTCACAAGGTGGATGTCCTAACTAGCTACCCGATAAGCAAGTTCTACTAAGGCTTGAAAAGTCTGGACGCCTGGCCAAGTGGGCCATAGAATTAGGCGAACATGATATCATTTACCATCCCCAAACTAGCATCATGGCCCAGGCCCTTGCATATTTCCTAGTCGAAATCCCAGATACTATAAAGGGAACACCAACGACAATCTCCGTTGACCCATTGGAGTCTGAAGCCAACAAAGAGCTTTGGAAATTATACACCGACGACGCAACAAGTAAGGAAGGCTCAGGTGCAGACCTGATCCTTCAAAACCCGAAAGACGAAGAAATCACTTGCGCACTATGATTTGATTTCCAAGTATCTAATAATGAAGCAAAATATGAGGCACTCCTAGCAGCCCTGAGGTTAGCAAGGGAGGTTGGTACAAAGCGATTAGCAGCTCTCAGTGATTTGTGACTCATCACGAACCAAATAAACGGA